AAAAGAAATTTATATCATCTCTGGATTAAATGAGTGAAACTAACACACAGTGTCTGGAACGAAGCACAGTCTTGGGCCTCTGCTGGCTCTAACTATCAACTTCATCAGTAAAATAAAGGATGAGCAAATCCTTCCAAGTATTTTATTTCAACTTGCAGGCAGTTTTTATAGTAAATGAATCTTAGCTTCAGATGACAGTCAACATTGACCTTTCTCTCCTTTTGGCAAATGAAATCAAATAAATAAAACAGCACACAGAAAGGTAGTACTATAATTTGCTAAATTCCAAATTTCTCTCGAGGTAGACATCCATTCTTAACCAATAGAGGGAAAAAAAAAGAAAAAAAAAGAAAAAAAAAAGGCACTTTTAAGAGCCACCTGCTTTTTAAAAATGTTCACCGCTTCCAGTTTCTCTCTGAGACATTATGGAAAAGAAATGTATAACATTAAGAATGTCCAGGTGGCTCTGGCAGACAGAAGGCCAGGCAGGAGTCAGCACTGCATGCTGGCAGCACAGAAGCAAGCAGCATCAATGCAGATGTGATCAACTTGACTAGTTCTCTTTGCTTAACACTTCCTAGATCACACCCAAACATCACATCAAGTTTTGAGTCCCTTGGTACAAACTGGACCAAGTGCAATGGATGGCCACAAAGATGGCTGAAGCACTTCCCATGATAGGCTCAGGAAGTTTGTTAAACCTCGAAAAAAGATAGCTTTGGGGGGACCTGCAGCATCCCCCAGCTTACTGTGGGAATGGTCCAGCAGCACAGAAGGATGCCCACAGAGGTTATGCACTTTCCATCCTTTGCAGTTTCCCAGATGCAATGAGAAAAAGCCTTGAATGGCCAAGTCTAAATTCAGGACAGATGCTGTTTTCTGCAGGTTAGACTCACTGACCTCCCAAGGTCCCTTCCACCCTAAATGAATCTCACTTTTATATGTTGTTACTGTTGCCATGATGCCACTGACATGCAATATCAGCTGCCACTTTGCAGGTACGTGTTATGCACTGCTCCTTCTGCTGAGCTCTGCTACCACTTTTACTCTCAGCAGTCTCTGTACTCACAAATGAAAGTAATTCTATTTATATTCATCTCATAAAATGTTTAAAACATCAGAAAAAAAAATGCTTACAATATGAAACACAGATCTGAGGTGTAAAGAGAATACCAACATTGTTTTTTTTTCTGAGATAAGACATTGTTTTTCAGAGCAGCAGGTGGGAACAAGACTTATTTCCATTAAGATGTTAAAGCCATAAGCTTGAATATGATTTTTATCAGTTCAGTAGCTATTTTTATGGAGTTATGTACAGACAGAAGCAGGACTCAGATTTTGTTTTTGAGGGAAGAGATAAAAAAATGAAGAAATGTGGAAGAAAAAAAAAAATAGAGAAAAAAAAAAAAACTTGTATAGTCTAGTGTTTAAATAATGTGTTTGGTAAATTTCTTTAACAGAGTCTTCAAACTATTTCATTCCAGATTTTGAGTGGAAGGGTGGGGAGGGGAGCAAAAAAAACCATACTTCCCCTATCAGTGAGGAATCAACAAAATTTGCAATGGAAAGTAACTATGAGGCTTCATACAATAGTATACACAGACACCCCTTCTCTATCATGAAGCTTCACCATCTATTTTCTTTTCATCCCCACTTCAGGATGCAAATTCTGTTCAACTCTTGACAAAAATTTCAGAAATCAGCTTTTGCCCAGCAAGAAACTGCAAAAGAAAATAACTGGGTGGGTGGAAAAGCTTCGATTAATAAGTATAACCTATGGATTTGTATCGTGGTGTAGACAGGTACTTTGGAAATAATTTTGAAACCTAAAGCAATCTAAGTGCAGATATAACTTGAAATTAAAAATTTAAAAAAAAAAAAAAGAAGAAGAAGAAAACAAAACAGAAAAGTTGAAGCAAGCACTGCTTCTTATGATCATGGCATACCAAAACACTGGTGTGAAACATTAATGGTAGCCATCTATTTTAGAAAAATGGCACGATTGAATGTTGACCCTAAAAAGATGAGTGGGGAAAAGGCAAGAGGCCGATGTTTGTGGTAACACGACACCTAGTGATCACATTGAGGAAGTTTCTGTATTGGTGGGTGCAAAATTGATTAAATAAATAAATAAATTCACCAGGCCTTGCTTTAAAATAAAAATAAAAAATAAAGAGTAAATATTATAATCTCTATCCGAGTACCTAAATTACATAGACATAATGTGGAAAACTAAAAAGAGGAAAAAGAGAGGAAAGGAACAGAAGATCCGCATATGCATTTTGTCCCCTTCTGGAGATCACGGTTTGAATAACTCCAGAGCAGAACAACATCCAAAATAGTTTCCCAACACTTCTTTCATTTGGATCTTTGCTGAATAAAGAAATCTATTGATAGCTTCCATACAGAGTAAGAAAAAAGCTATTAAAAAAACTTGGTGTACTAGCTGATGGCATGCAATATAAATAATGGCATTTTAGCAGAATAATCTCTACTCTGAGAAACCACTGACAAGGTACTCATACATAACAATGAGATATATACCTTTATTTCTTCATTTTAGAAGCTTGTAAGGCTATCACCACCTTTCACACTTCCAGCAAGACAAAGAAAAGCACAGAATCCAACTCATTGCATCGGTGTAAGATTCAGGGACAACTGTGGCACAGGCACACTGACACAGTGGGTAACTATCCCTAAGGGGTTGGACCTCTTCAGAATTTCTGAGGGGCTAAAAGGGGAAGAGCTATACAAGAAATCTGAGCTCACTACAGATAAAGGAAACAGACTGCTTTCTGAAATCAGCTCAATATGAACATGTCTGACCCAGCGGGAGGCAAGTAGCACAAATTACACTGATTGACAAAACATTAGAGACAATGTCTGACTGAAGCTTCACTTGTGTAGAACAGAATACAAACAAATAAACTTTTAAGTCTGTTTCTTGCATAAACTCCTTAAAGAGCTTGTTAGTGTTAAAAATATAAGCATACAAAATATTATAGTACTGTGTTTCAAATCTAGCATGCTATCTTGTATTTAAAAGTGAGCTGAGCTACTTTTCAAGGACTAGTACTTCTCTGTCTTCCTTCTGAAAACTAAAAAAAAAAATTTAAATACCAGTACCTTTAAGAACTATGACTGCCTAATTACCATAACCCCAGACAATGAAATGGGCTCAGCATGCAGTATTTAGTAGTTACATCATAACTAGCATAGTTCTACCTTATTTCTGAGGAAAATTCGCACAGACACAGGCAATACACAGATAAAAATAGTAAGGGAAATGAATTTGGATGCCAGTAGTGTTAAAATAATGAAACAAATACTCATCACACCATTCATCATAAAAGCAAGGTCTTGTTTTCAACATTCTGAGAATGGCTCATGCTATTCCCTGCATCAGTACGTGGCATCTCTGGGAAGCTGTGCAGTTATGAAGTCAGTGTATAAATACCTGTCATAAATGCTGCTATGGAATCTGAAGTCTATATGATTGCATTTAAAATTCTCTGGAAAGTGAGGTTAAGCTGTTCTGTGTTCATTGGAAAGAAGCAGCTTGCAGAGCTTTTGATTTATGTTCCTACCTCTGATGTAGGGTCCAGGTAAGCTGTACGGCCACGAATCTCTGGTTTCCACCACACCTGTCCTTTCCTTAGAGCCCAGAGCTGCTCCAGGCAATACTGCAGGCGGAAGTCCCGCGAGTATCAGCAGGAACAGCATGTCCCAGTGGCCTTAAACATACACATTTAACAGAACTACAAGAACACCAGTCATAAATTCCACCTAATGATAGTGATTATACCTCACCTTTAGTGCTGAAACATTCTGAACTACCATACAACCCCCCCAGCTGTTAACATTTTAAGTAATTGCTGCACAGATTATTTTTACAGCTCAGGAGCAGGTCTTACAAATTAAGAGCTGTGAAGCAGCTTTAAAACACAGACAATCCTACTGCAGGTTTAATTTGATTCTTGTCTTTTTAATTACAGAAATTCCAAAAGCCAAGAGGTGAATGTGTTGTAAGAGAGACAAACAAGTCAGATGAGTGACACAAAAACACAGCCCAACGCAGCTCAGACAAGATAGCAGTTAGTTGCCACAGATTTGTGGCAGCTGTTGCACTTGCTTGTGGTTCCAGGTGTCATTTAATACCTTTCCTTCCACACTTGTTCTTCCAATCATCTACTCTCATATTATGGAGGCTTAAAGAGGTAATGAAATTGCTGTGAAGAGGAAAGCATCTTTAAGCCATACTGCATGGAGCAGCAAGCAGGTGGCTTCTGAATGATGCTCAAGGTAAAATATGAGGAAGGTGACACAGTTTTCCTTTAAAACCACACAGCTGTAGTCACTGAGACAGCTTGAAGGACAGGGCAAAGAGTGAATGGGCTGTTTATTTCAGCACCAGTAAACTCTTTTATAATAAATGCAACTTTCCAGACAGTGGCTGAAAAATGCTGCAGTTACACTTCCACAGAAGAACCGCATGCCAAGAGGAGCGTTACACTAAATCACTAAGTCCATCATTACTTTAAAAGGTACAGAGGACGTACCAGATGACGCTAATTTAATAAATCAAGGACACTTGAGAACCACCATCAGAGGGCATCATTTATAAATGATGTGCCAAATACGCTGCCACGAAGTAGCGAGTCTCTCCCAACTCCCCGCTTCCCTCCCAGTGCGATACCGCACAAGTCGAGACGCAGCGGAGCCCCCTCCCCGCTTCCTCCCCCGGCCCCCGAAACTTTCCCGGGGCTGAGAGAGATGGCAGCCCCGCGTTGAGAGGGGGCGCCAGCCGGCCCGGGGCTGCCTTTCGGCGGCCGGCAGCGTTCCTCCCGTTGAGGGAGGCTGAGGCGGTGCCCCGCTGCCCGCTTCCCCTCCCGCAGGCGCCTCCCTCCCGCCCTCTGGGCAGCGCCGCCGGCGGGAGCCGCCCGACCCGAGCGGCCGCGGGAGTCGATGCCGGGACGGGCGTGGGGAGCGCGGGTACTTGCCCAGGTGGGGACGAGGAGGCTGCCGGGGCGCTCAAGCGGTGCTGGAGGCGGCTGCTTCCCCGCCACGCTCATCTCCTCCCATGCAGCTGGCTGGGTCCTTCTGTCAGACGGGCGGCTCGGCGGGACGCGGCGCCTCAGGCATGGAATCCCGGGAGCGAACGGCGTCGCGGCTCCGCGGGGCGTGCGGTGCCGGGGGGTCGCACCGTACTGCGCCGCGCTCTGCCCCGCGGCCCGGGCGGGGCGGCAGCACGGGCACGGCGGGCGGGAAGGAGGGGTCTCGCCGGAGGCTGGGAGCCAAGAGGGGAGAGGACCGCGGCGGAAGCGCGCTGCCTATTTAACTTCGTTCTTCTCCGGGGGGAAGGCGCCGCCGCTCTCGCTCCCCTCCCCTCTGCGGCCACATCTCCACAGCCGGGCTCTGGGTGCAGCCACTAGCGCTGCTGCGCTCCTCCCCGGCACCGCACCGCGCAGCCCCCCCGCGAGGCTCGTCCCGAGCGCGGCGGCGGTGATTTTGGGTTGCTCCAGTCCCGCCCCGCGCCGAGCAGCGCCGAGCAGCGCCTCGGGCTGGGCGGCCCGCGCCCGAGAAGGGAACGGGAGCAGCTGAACGGCAGGGGGTCGGGGCGTGCTGCAGGCCCACGCGATGTTCCCCCCGGTGTCGGGGTCACTCAGTGATATGTAGGTCTCCTGCAGGTATGCGCCCTTCTGTCATAACCTCCAGACCAACATCACCAGGTTTTGTTCTTCCGTTGGTCCTTGGTCTTCATCCCAGCGTTCGAGTTCATCACCTGGATAGCCTGGGAAATTAGCTTTGGGAAACTTCATGTCGATCACAAGACTGACGGGAAGGAGATGAGATGGCACACAGAACCATGTGAATTGAAAGGGACCCTTAAAGGCCATCCAGTCCAACTCCTTGCAATGGACAGGGACACCTACAGCTAGAGCAGGTTGCTCAAAGCCCCGTCCAGCCTGACCTTAAGTGTCTGCAGGGATGGGGCATCCAACACCTCTCTGGGCAACCCATATCAGTGCCTCACCATTCTTATCATAAAAAAACCTTTTTTCTCATATCCAGTCTAAATCTTTTAGTTTGAAAGCATTTCCCTTTTCCTAACACAGCAGACCAACCTAAAGAGTCTGTCCCTAAAGGCATTGCTCTAAGGGCTCATTTGCCCCAATTAGCCCATCCTGTGGATAAAAAAAAAGCCTGCCATTTATAGTGCTACATGCCTGAAAGAAAAAGTTGTGACAATAAGCTGGCAGTGTGAAATGCTTGAGAACCTGGGCCATAACCTCACACAACCGCATAAAGCCATGTGCATGCACAACGTGCTGACATTCAGAGATGGAAGGAAAAAGAACAACCACACAAATGAGCTGCAGCCTGGCAGAGATGGATTGCCCCAGGCTGCTGGGGCTGGAGGTGAGAGGAAGCAGCAAGTAACAGTGGATGTTCTATAGCTCTGGAAACATCGCACCTTCGAGGTTGTATTTTGCAGTAGTTGCAGGCAGTGCCCATGCACCAGATGTGTTTTGTTGGAATGTACAAACCTCAGATGAAAAAAAATAATGTATGAATAGGGTACTGTTTATTAATGTAAACGTGCTTAGACAATTTAGGAAGGTTGGAAATGAGAAACAGGTATTTGCTAGTATGGATAACAGTTTTGCTATAGTTACCAATTTCTTATCAGATACAGCTTTTCCTTTCATGTTTCTTCTTCATTCTCTTCTTCCATAAATACAGGATATAAGCAAGGATTAGAAAACAGATGTGCAAGTCAATGTAAATAAAAAACAAGTAGCAGAGTACTATTATGATGTACAGGGAATATATGTGGGAAAAGACTTACAGAGATAAATTCCTATTTTTCAAAAAGTTTCTATTTATCTATAAGCTTTACTTTTCTAAAATTTAAAATTCTTTTCCAGTTGGATACCATAAGCCTTGCACACAATGTATAACTTCTGGAGAAGCTTATCTGAAAACTGACAATTGCATAAATGATTTATGTAATGCACTGAAAATTGGATAACGTCAGACAGCTAAGGAACTGTTAATACTTTGTACTTTGGGGATTTAATTTCACAAAATTATACTCTCCTATGGTACTGCTGTACTGAAAGCAAGTGGATATATGTGATTTGGGGAAAGATAAGTCAAAAATAAACATATTTAGTATTTTATTTGAGCTAAGCCAATTTGTCATAGCCTGCAAAACTTATTAATTACAACTAATAAATTTCTTTATTTTTAAGAGACAGTACAATTTCATAGCTTAAGAAACATATGAACTTTTTAGGAGTTGTTACTGTGTTCAGTTTGTTACTAATGAAAAGCTTATATGTGGTTTTTCCTTTCCTCTGTCAGTAATTTTTCAGTTTCACTACATCCCTGATTCTGCAAAGCCTTTGCCTTTGCCATTCCTGAAATACAGTTAATGAATGCTAGCTGTCAAGTAGCGTTTTAATGATGAAAGACTTGTGTTTTTTTCCAGATTATACTATATCCTATAATTTGGGATAGGGCAATTATTTATAAATTTCTAGCCCTTGAGATTTCATTAAAATACTAGAAAATAACCACAAAGTGATCTTACAAAAAGAGATTAAATTCAGAGGATGCAAAACATGTTTTTTGATAAAAAAATACCATGATTTTCAGTTAAATTCATGATATTAAATAGTACTCAAAAAGTTTTATTAAGATTAAACGTAGCAGACAGCAAAAAAATTTCAAATCATGTGTAAAGTTTGAATGGAGTGTTCATGAAAACAGATGCAAACTGCTGAATTCAAAAGCTGTCACTTTACAGATCTGTCTGTTTCCTTCCATTTTCATACATATTCTTGCATTCTTACATAAAAGTACACACACAGACAGTTGAAAGTGTGTAATTATATTTTCCAGGAAATTTTACTTTGTCTTAAAAGTATAATTATAAACATTTATAATGCAAACAATCTCACGGCTACTCAGATTGTAATCTTACTATGAAACTCAACATTTGCAGATATTCCACTTCTCATTTTTAGACATTAATATTCAGAAAAACACAAGAATCATATCATCATTGGTTCTATTTTAGGTTTTTCTGTGAAGCTTAGCTGCTTTATGAACTTTATTATACTGAATATTTTACTAGCAAAATAAATGCTCCTTCATTTGATTTTGTGAAAAGGCATCAAAGATAAGAGGAAGTAGAATCACAGAATCATAGAGGTTGGAAGAGACAGGATCACAGAATGGCTCAGATTGGAAGGGACTTCAAGGATCATGAATCTCCACCCCCCCCCCGCCACATCCAACCCATCTGCTAAAGCAGGTTCCCTACAATAGGTTGCACAGGAGAGTGTCTAGGTAGGTTTTGAGTCTCTCCAGAGAAGGAGACACTGTAGATCATACTTTTCTAAGGATATCAGTTTGAAATTTTTAATGTAAAAATTGCATGTAAGGCAAGATAGAAACGCTGCATGTCCCAGGGAACATGCAGCCTGCATTAATGCGGAAGCTGCCATTCAGCCACCGGTATCCCTCATTTTATTCAGGTGCAGGTACATTTCACCATGCACCCTGCTGCCAAAGTCAAACTGGTATGACTGGGACAAACTGGTATGATTTTGTCCGTCACTGCTGAAGGAATGAATATTGACTGCATCAGTCAGGAGCTCGGTATCTCAGGCTATTTAAGAGAGTAATTCATCAGGGTACTATGAAAGACTATTAAAAATGGATGTCTGAGCAACTGGATATCTGAATGAGGTATTCCCAACTTGTGTTTATAGAGGGATATTGGAGCAATCAGTATGTATTCTTACCTTGGAATCAGATGATTTTAGTAACACTGACAACATCCATGTGTACGCTTCATCACCTGCTGCAGTAAAGCAGCAAAGAGTAAGTAGCATGCAGGTAGCTAACTGGCAAGCGTTTTGAGTACTACAGAACCAAGTGGGATTTGATACTCTTTCCTGAAGTTGTTCTTAAGTGCTTGCCTGTCCTTGAAATCTACCAAATGGAGGAGCTGATGTTCTGCAAACTAGTATTTTATGTGTACTTATTCTCTGCAGATAGCAGCGTGTCAAGATGTTAAAGCTGTGCCAATGTGCAAAAAGGACTATGACATTACTGTGTGGCCAAAGAAAGCACAAGGTTGTGAGAGGGAGAAGAATGGAGTTCTGGAAACCTGTTGTCACTACTCAGATTTATCCAGTTTTTTATCCAGTGATTACTCGGCTCCAAAATAGAGTTCACAGAAAAGGCATAAGGATGTAGAAATCCCTACTTTTTGAACACTGCCTGCGTCCCTGGAGTAGCATGTGACTCTCCTTCCGTCTTTTGCTCTGATTTCTGCTCGTAACATTTGGCAGGCAGCGCATAACCATAATTGTGAGCTACTTCTCATATGGCAAATATATTCATTATTTATATTTCATCAGTATTTGACCAGTGACTCATAAGAACGTAAGCATTAAATTTAGAAAGAAGATGTGATTCACAAAGGCAATCTGGTTGTACATAGAAATACAGGTAAGTTATAACTGATGAACAGAGGCAGCATTATGTGGTTTGGGTAGCCAATAAATAAATCTGATAGAAACTTCTCAGTATGTAATTCATGGCCCATTTCTGCTAAAAACTCCTTTGCCTTGTATGCTGAATAATTTTGGGGCTGGTAGACATGATTTTTATCGATTTGTTGACTCATTTGTGGGCAATTCATGAACAGAATTAAGAGTGCAGTACATTTCTTGAATTGTTCATGTAGCTGCATTACTATACTATATCATTGTGAATCAATTGGCAGCTCATTTTCAAAAAGATGTAGTGCAGCTTCATTTAAGACAGACATGGTTTGTTTCCAAAAAAAAAAAAAAAAAGTGAAAGTGGACAATTAGAAAGAATTTTACTGCTGTTTTTATTGCCTGAAAAATGCCAGGAGAGTCTACATTTAATAGTTCCCGTGCAGAATAAAAAAGGAAATAAAAAAAAAAGTGTTCATTACACTGATAATATCATAGAATCATAGACTGGCCTGGTTTGAAACGGACCACAGTGATCATCTAGTTTCAACCCCTCCGTTATGTGCAGGGTCTCCAACCACCAGACCAGGCTGCCCAGAGCCACATCCAGCCTGGCCTTGAATGCCTCCAGGGATGGGGCATCCACAACTGTGGAGAGCGTGATTGAGACCTGGCTGGTTGAGAAAGGCCACACAGACAGTATTCGGCTAATGAGACGAGAGTCCTTGAGCAATCTAACAGGATGTAAACAAGGCTAACAAGGAGAGAGTCCTTGAGCAAACTAACAGGATGTGTAGGAAGGCAGGAGAATGTAGAAATAAGAAAGATGTATGGCGTGGTCTAATCACAAAAAGTACAAAGAAGGGCTGGGGCAACAAGTAGCTGAAGAGCCTATCAGGAACTTGGGCTTTGCAATATGTATGAGCTTCATTAGCGCCAACATAAATGCACGCAACCTTCTGATTAAAGTTGAGACTTTCTGATCAATTCTGTGGTCATGTGTTTGTCTCCCACCGAGCTCCGACACACAACCTCCTTGAGCAACCTGTTCCAGTGTTCACCACCCTCTATGTGAAAAACTTCCTCCTAATTTCTAACATAAACCTCCCCTGTCTCAGTTTAAAACTATTCCCCCTAGTCGTATCACTATCCACCCTCGTAAACAGCCATTCCCCCTCCTGTTTATATGCTCCCTTCAAGTTCTGGAAGGCCACAATGAGTTCTCCCCTGAGCCTTCTCTTCTCCAAGCTAAACAAGTTCCCTCAACCTTTCCTCATAGGAGAGCTGCCCCAGCCCTCTGATCATCTTACTGGGGGCCCCAGGCCTGGACGCAGTACTCCAGATGGAGCCTCACGAGAGCTGAGTACAGGGGGACAATTACCTCCCTCTCCCTGCTGCCCACCCCTTTGTT